TTTTCTGCATCATTCAATAATTTGCCCAGAGAATCTTTCAATAATGAAAGTCGAGGCTTGAATTTTTTCTTCAGTTCCCCCAGCTTGAGAAATGCTGAGCTCATTCTTCCTTTTCGGTTTTCTGATTCCAGATCTTTGCACATTGTGTTGTAATATTTGGCTTTATCTTCTCGAGCTGATCTTTGAAATTATCTGTTCAGTTCTTACTTATCTTAAAATCAACTTTGTTTATTTAGTCATCTAGTAAACAATGAGTGCAGTGGCTCTGGAGGATAAACACTAGATTGCTAACTACAAAATCTGTGGGTTCAGCCCACCAGTCACTGCATGGGAGAAAAATCAGGTTTTCTGCTCCCGCAAAGATTTAGAGTCTCAGAAACCCTATACAGGATCACTGTGAGTTGGAACCATCTCGATGGCACCTAATAACCACAACAATAAAATGTAAAGGACCACCACTAGTCCATCAATTTGTCATACTGTGGTGGTTTGCATGTTTCTGTGATGTTGGAAGCTATGTCACTGGTATTTCAAATACCAAAGTGATTTCCATAGTGGACAGTTTCAGCAGAGTTTCCAGATTAAGACAAACTAAGAAGAAGGAGAGGCAAACCACTTTTGATGGGTTAGCCACTGAAAACCTTATGAATAGCGTCAGAACATTGAATGATATAGTGATGGAAGATAAGCCCCACAGGTTGGAAGACACTCAAAATATGACTGGGGAAGAGCTGCCTCCTCATGGATGGAACAAAGTTTTCAGTACCTTCATTTGCTGATAGGGCACAACTCAAAATAAGAAGAAACAGTTGTAAACATCCACAAATAATTGGAACATGGAATGTATAAAGTATGAATATAAGAAGGTTGGAGGTTGTGGAAAATTAAATGGAACACATCCTAGACATTACTGAGCTGAAATGGACAAGTATTGGCCATTTGAATCAGATTATCTTATAGTCTATTATGTGGAGAACGACACGTTGAAGTGTCACATTCATTATCACAAAGAATATTTTAAGATCTATCTTGAAGTACAATGCAGTCTGTGATGGGATAAAATCCATACACCTTTACGCACAAACCACTAAAGCCATTGACAAAGAAATTTAATAATTCTACCAACTTCTTCAGTCTGAAATTGATCATCCATGCATTCAAGATGCATTGATAATTACTGGTGATTGGAATCAAAACATGGAAACAAAGGGGAAGGATTGGTACTTGGGAAATGTGGCCTAGATGATGAAAAAGATGCTAGAGATCACATGATAGAAGTTTGCAAGACGAAT